ACACAGACAGTGCAGAGCTGTAACATTACAATGGTGTTAAAAAAGTTGGATCTTTTTTGCAGGAAATTTAACTGGTAGTATTTTAACTTTTTTAGAAATTTAACTGGTAGTAGCCGGACCTCAGAATAACTGTTCAGAAAGGCACCCAGAAGCACTGGTGCCTATGCAAGCCTCCCGGGTCTTAAAATGTATCAATATCTCATAAGATCCAGTGCTCTCACAAGATGCCTGTTACTTCCTGTTTTCCCTTCATCCAGAAATAGATTAACAACGGTATTTCCTACTCTGCTCCATCCAGAAAAAGGAATTAAAAAATATTCAGTGCTGAAAATATTTTTTAGAATATCTATCCAAACTTCTTGAACTTCCCTAAAGATTCAGTTGAAGTTTTAGGCTCTGGTTCAAGTAGCTGTTGTTGAATCTAAAGAACTTTATCCAACCCTATTCCTAAGTTGGCTCTAAAAATTCTTTCAGACTTGAAACTTAGGGTACAAATTCACAAGCTTGGAAATGATTTATGTATGCCAATTCTTTTAAATACATTTGATTTTAATTTACAAGAGCACAACAAAAATTCAGAACTTTGTGGTTTCCAGTGTTTTTAATATGAAAATTCTTATTTTGGAAGGAAGTATTACTGAATTTTTATCTAAAATGTGCATTACAGACTTTTTTAGCATTTAAGAATGAATGTATCTAAGATGCTAGGGAGGGAAAGGGAGATATAATAATTTAATTTGTAATTCTTTTGGATGAGAATTCTAGGTAATAAATTTGATCTGATGAATCAATCTCTCCTTTGAAAACAAATAGCCTTTAACTATTTACTTGACAGACTGTAGGGATTCTGGGAGGGCTCTTATTGCTTATTGGGTAGATAATACAAATTGCAGATGATGTGCAGATGATGTGCATTTTGATGAATATTTTCCCACTAGACTGCAACTGTTTCTATCTATTAATTTTGATCTAATGGGAGAAGTCTGTTCCTGGGTAGTTTTAAGCTAGGACTTTTAAAACAGTCAGTACGTTAAAGCTGGGTTTTTCTATCAGCCTAAGTTCTATCACTGAAATGAACTTCTAAGTGAAAGTAGCGTCTGAGAATGGTTCAGAAGTAATAGCTGCGGAGATTCATATTTTCCATCTATCCCCAAAGAAGTCATAACCTGAGCAAAAACAATGCTAGTATTCACACCAGTGTACCTCGGTTCTGACTGAGATTACTAATCTTAAAAAGGGAGAGAATATTGAAATTGTCTTGGTCTTCCTGATTTTATTGTTACCAAAGTTACCAGATGTGATCATAGTGACTGTGGTGCTTTTGTGCTAATAACATTATCTTGAAAGTGGACCTTCATACAATCTGCTGAAGAGGTGGTAACTGCAGACTGGGCTACATGCAGTCACAATAATAGAGTCTTAAAAATGCTGTTTTACAGTCCATACAAGTAGAATAGAATGCCATAAAAAGTTTGACTCTTTCTCGGAGATAAATGTTCAGCAAAATAAAATGTGAATGAATTAAAAACCTTGGATTAAGTTGCAGATTTTTTAGCTGTTGTGAACTGGTATAGTTCCACTGCATACAAGGAAGTGCTTTAGATTTGAACCAGATGACTCTCTGGCTCTGAGTGTGCTGTCTTTGAATTTTGAATTGCTTTATACTACTGTCTTTCACTAGTTCCTTAAGTGCAAATTTTGCTAGTTTAAACCTCTTTCTGATGTGTGAATGCAAAAATGTATGAAACTGTTGAGGAAAAGGCATGAGTTTTTCTGGGGTCATCTTTCCTCTTTATCACTAAATAAAGATGTTCAAAAGAATGGTGAGAGTTTCAGGAACTTCTGCAGTAATTAAATTGCAATAAGGTTAAATTATTACCATTTTAATAGGAATGTACATTTAAAACACCCTGTGAGGGATAAAGAAGCCTATATCCCGACAATAAGAAAATAAAAAGATGAAGTCAGAGCCTGCCTGACTCAGAAACTTCTGCCTGATTTGCTTTATCCTAAATTGATAGGGTAAATGAGATAGTCTTCGGAAATTACAACTGCCATTGAGCATTGAGCCAAGCGTCACTGTATTTCACAAAATGAAAATTATGTAGTCCTATAAGAGGGAGGGGCTGAATCCCCAGGGCATCTGTTTCCCATCAGTGTCCCACCATGCTTGCAGTCTGGCTTGGCACTCTAACATTTAACCTTCCCAGCATGAGGTAGACCATAGGGCAACAAGGCTGCGGAATAATGAAACAAGAGTGTAGTGTGGTGCACAAAGCCTTTGTAAAGTACAGAAGTTGAGACATTAAATGATCAGGGTACAGAGATATGAAAGTTCCAGATTTTTCTAAAAAGACCCCATTAGTCTCGCACAGAAAGAATACCGCGCTGTTTCTCAGCAGGCAAAGGGAGGGCCTTTCCCCATCTATCCATGCCTTTTTGCCCGCTGCTTTCAACTATTATAAAGATACAATTACCTTGGGAGATTGTGGCAGTTCAGTTGATTAGCACGGTGAATTAAAAGAATGAGTCACAAATGACATGTCCAGCTCTTCTCTACTAGTCCTTTGTATTCCCAGTATACCTCACCCCTGTTGTAAGAAGGTCAAAAATTAGAGAGAGATAACAATTTTCAAGCAGCTAGCACTTAGGAGCAGAATTAACAATCATTCTGTATGTAATTGCCAGTTAATAGTAAATTGCCTTCTAGACTGTAAAATGCAATATAAACTGGTGGGCACCTAAAATTAAATTAATGAGGTATTTGCTGCATTTAAAAGTGAATAGTGCACATTAATAACTGAGTATAATACTTGTTTTAATATTTATCTAATGCTGCATCATTTGCTTCTATGATGATGATTTTAAAAGTTCTACCTGAAAAAATTCTCTATTTGGTTAAATCGAGCAGTTTGTACAGATTGTAACCATAATTTTGCTGGTAAAGTCTTCCAGGTTTCTAAATTAAATATCAGAGATTATTTTTTAATTAGAGTATGAGCACTGCAGTGTTATTTGATTAAGGCAAATTGTGATTTGTATGCTTCTAAATGAAATTATGTTACAGATAAAAATGGAATTTTATACACATATTTTAAGCTATGAGCTCTGTAGATGCTGTTGGTTTACTTTAAGATGAGCAGTAGTACTGTATTTGCAATGTATTTATGCCACTGTGTTACAGTTTTCTCTGAGTGTGTACTTTGCATAACGGTTTCCTAGCAAAGAAACTCCAAGCTAGTATATATTAAAATAATTTCCAAGGATGTTATTCAGCCTCATATGACTATATCTAACTTAGAACTTTTAATGTTGACTGTGATACACCCTCATTTTGATAACTTCTTTTGCTCAATTAAAGAAATTACCGCAGGAGACAACGTATCATTTGCAGTAGACTACCCAGTTACTGTACAAGGTATTGGCATTCAATAGCAAACATGTCCAAAACAGACACAGAAAAAGCTTGAATGTTGAATACATGGAACCATTCCCAGGTCTGCAATGCATTTACTGATGTGAACATAAAAATGATTATTTTGCACAAAGACTTGCATTCAATTTTAAGCTTATGAAACCATTACTCATCCAATAATCGCTCTCAGTTTGTGTTCTTTCTGATAGAGTATTTATGTTAAAAAAGTAAGATTGCGCTCTAAGGCGGGCACAATATCAAGAGAGGAAAGCCCTGTTTCATCACTATATTGTCCAGATTTTTCAGATTGACTTGTTTTTACCTCCGTATCAAGACCTCTACTTTGGCTGGTTTCCCGTATTTAACCCCCACTCCACTTCACCCTCTGAAAGATCTCATGTTCCTGAAGTATTTTAGAGATCTTTTGTGTGCATTCAAATGTGATTCTGTCAATGGCGCTGTTACACTGTTTAGAGTCAATAGCTCCCTTCCATCACAGCCAACACAAACTAGCTGTCTCATAGGTCAGTGCTCTTTAAACAAATTACTTGTATCCACAGAGCAAATGATTGTTAATTGCCTCCCACAAATCATACTATTTTTACTTTGCTAAACTAAATGCTAATGCCTTAGTTAAATTTAAACCACCTGATTATTTCTTGTACATATTCAATTATTATTCGTAAGTATGAAATCTAGTGGTTTTGCAAAATGAATACTAAAAAATATATACTAGATCCAGTACTTTATTGGTAACGCTTTAAACAGAAACTTGCAGTTAACATTTATTTTAATGAAATCATCAGCATTTCTAATTCGTATATATTGCATTTGCTTTCTTTAAGTGCTGTTGTCCTGAAGCAACTTACAGTCACTGTTATTGCAGTATTGGTTATTTATTGATCAGACCTTCTGTCAGTACTGGTTGTTAGCAAGCTCAAAAAAATCAAGATAAAACAAATATTCTTATCCTTTCTAAGTCAGTCAAAGTTACTATTAAAAAACTAAAACCAAAAAGTGTCTCTGTTAATACATTAAAAAGCTCTATTGTGCTAGTGCAAAATCTGTCTTTCTTAAAACAGTTTAATGTCAAAGGCAAAAAGATTCTGGTTAGCTGTCTTTTCTTATAAAGAAGGTTTTTCAGCATGACATACATTTTTAATTAATAGGGCAATGCTAAACATACAAAAATGATTTAGTAGTATCAAGTCAATAGCATATTGGATAATGTATATTATATAATAGCTCTTTTTTAAACAGTAGCAATTCCAGGTTTATCAGGGTCATTGTTGTCCCCTTTCTTTTCTGTCTCAAAGGAGGCCAGAAGAATGAGACATACCATTTGTGCTATTGCACAAGTAGACTATTTGTCCTAATCAGTGACACCCATTTACTAGAATTGCTTAAAATGAACTATACCTCATACAGAAATCGCACATTTAGAGTGTTCCATTCATCATCTGAAAATTGAGGGCCAGTAAACTTTTCTGTTCCTCCAGCGGGATCATAGACATGCATCAAAATGTTAA